AAGGTGTATTTATAAGCTTCTCCCCCTGACGTCTAGGGCGGTGGCTGAGTGGCAGCTGCCGTAGGTGAAATAGTGTTGGTGTGAGATTCTGGTTTACTTAGTCTCGGTACTAAAGGGTTTTGGATGAAGCTTTATTTATTGGTGGTGGTTAGTCAGTTGTTACAGAAATGGTTGTGCTGATTTAAGAAGTCACATCAGCTGTTTGCTGGGGACGCAAAAGCAAGGGAGACGTGCAGTGTGCGAAGGCTTCCCGTCCATATGGCTGTACTGAGGCAGGGGAAGGAAACCTTTCGCCCTTGAAGGTGGTGAAGAGCTCCTGTATGATCTGCCAGCTCTTGGACGATCTGTGGCAGCAGTAACGCCCAGCTTGAATGATTGTCCTGCCTCTCCAGTCAGCTTTTTAGGCTGGCAGAGCTTTTTCCTTAGTTATTGTCCAACAACTGCCTTAATGGCCCTTCCAGCGCCTACAAGCATAGCTCCCCAGAGAGGGAATTGTGTGGGGGAGTTCAGGAGGACTTTCCTGGAAAAGGGATGAATATTTGTTTGCTCTCTGTGGTTTTAATTTCACTAAGTCCCCTGCTGTACTGTGCAGCTCTGTCTCCAGTGATCCCAGCTGCTCTACTGGGTCTTGCTGGATATCACTTCTCATTGCTCTCTTCCCTTCTTAGGACACTGTTTAAGGAGAGCAGGCGTGTACACGGACACCTCACATCAGTCCTGTGAGTATCGCGCAGCATTCCTTTGGAGCGATAACTGGTGAACTCCGTTCCCCGGGGCCTGGGTGGATCACGCAGGAGTACCTGAGCTTGCTTGGCTCCCGTCAGATAGTTTGGCGCTGCTTCATTTGGGGAGGTCTAGGGAGAGTAGTTGTTTGTGTGCGACATCTCCCAGCGACAGCCTTCCGGAGGTGCTTTAGCCTTACAGTAAGCTCAAAGATAAGAACTCTGAAGGCAGGTTGCCTCCTGGCCTTGTTCAACAGATTGGAGTCAGGCCTCTGTGCTAGTCCCTGGGAGGCAGATCAAGGTAAAACGGAGCGTGATGCCAGCACTGCGATTATTGCTACCTGTTCAGTCGGTCCTTACTGGATTCTGGATTCCCTCTTTCTTGTTGCCTGGTTAAAGGAGGGGTACAACAAGCTCAGGCTGGTGAAGGTGGGTGCAACAGGCTTGTGGGTGGCAAACCACGAGAGCCATCGGAATCCAGCTGGGCAGGTGTTTTAATGCCAAAAGGTCTCGTGGATCTTGCTGGCAGTCTATAATAGATGATGATACGGACTTAGGCTGATGTCTGTTTGACAGACGGTCCTGTTCTTGGCACTGGATGAGCGAGGGGAAGTGTGAGAAAGAGTATGAAATAGAGCGTAGAGTCATCCTTCCCTCAGCCATACCATTCCAGCAGTTCAGGGATGTCTTGTACCAGAGATTGCATCTGACCAGACCAAATGATTTATTTTCCGTGAATTTGGCAGATGCTTTTGCATCCTTGACTTCTTCTGGGAACCCAAAAGAAGCGTGTAACTCTTCTCCAGATCAGTCTCTCTGCCAGTTTCTCTCTGGGTGTTGCTATAGTTAGGCCAGCAGTGGGTTCCTGTAGTATCTCCTAGCCCTGCGCCCGGTGCAGGAGGTGTCTGTTGAGTGCTTTCACTGCTCTGCTACCATTTCAGACTCTGCTCCGCTCCCTAATTCATTCCCCTGTGTGGGAGTTGGGGCTTCCTAGAGCAGCAACCGAATGTCATACGGTTTTGAATCCTAGCAACCTGAGATGCTGCCTCTGTTCCCTCGGTTCTTTGCAAAAGACTCAGTGGATCATCATTAACAGGGCCCAAGTGTGCTCCCTAATTGGATGCTTCCCTGCGGGCATGCAGTGAGCCATGTTTCTTTTGTCTCCCTCAAAACAGGGCGAAGAAGAAAGTTATAGCTCCTACTAAGGTGAAAGTGAAGGTGAGTTCCTTGTTTTCTGGTTCGCACGGTTGACGTACACCAAGAGTCAAGTGTCTGCCATCTGAAATCCTATACTTGAGCCTTGTATCTACGCATGAGGTACCAGGAAGTTGTACTGTGAAATAGCTCTAGTCAGTATTGGGCTTGAAAAAACAACTGGAACAGCAGCTAAAATTGATGGCAGCAGCAGTCGGGAGGGAGGTGGGGGGCGGCAGGCACAGAATGTGCCTGTTCTGCCTTTTATCCCCAAATCGGGAACCTTCCCTCTTCAGCAGTAAATCCTGCTTCTGTTCTGACTCTGCCTTCTCTTGTGACTTTGTTCCAGGAATCTTCCTGCAAGCCAGATAAAAAGGTGTCGGTTTCTGTTCCCTCGATGCACTCAAGCAGCACCTTAGCTCTGTCCTCAGAGCCCCAGGGAGGAGCTCTGGGCATCAGTGCCCAAACCAGGGAACTCCTGTCCCTTGGGACAGCCCAAGCAGCCAGCAGCACCGGCACTCCTGCTGCCTTCATGGATGACTCCTTGGATGAGGACTTAATTCATAATCCCACTTCCTCGCTTGAAGCAGTCTCTAAGGAACTGGCTGTGCTGAACAGCAGAGTGGGAGGGAGCCCTGACTTTACTCTTCCTGGAGCTCCAAAAGCTCCACCAGAGAAGATCCCAACTCTTGCAACCTCAGAGGAGAAGAGGACATTTCCAAAGTCCAACCCTTCCCCTACATCATCCTCTGGTTCCCTCCAGTCTCCTCTAAACTTCCTGGCTGAGCAGGCCCTGGCATTGGGCCAGTCTTCTCAAGACAAAAAGGCAGAGAACTCTAATTACAAAGAGCTCTCCTGCCAAGCCTCCCCCAGCAAAATCCTTCCCGATGCACATCAGGCTAAACAGAAACACCACAGCCTGGCCCGGCCAAGCCACGGGCCTCAGACCTCCACCCCGGTGCCGGGTTCTCAGGTGAAGGTCTTTCACTCAGGCAGCCAGCTACAGAAAACTTTCACCTCCCCGGCTCCGTTTGTCAAACTGCAGAATCCCAAGTCCTCCTCCCCACTGCCCCAACGCTCCCTCCTCCAGCAGGTCAAGTCATCAACCAAAGCTCAGAGCTTCCATTCCTCTGCATCACCAGGCAGCACCCAAAACTCTGGCAGCTCCCACAAGAGCCCAGGCTCATCCTCATCATCTCTCAGCTACACAGGAAAGCACTCGAGCGGCTCTAGCTCTTCAGGACAATCTTACAAATCGCCCTTCGTTTCTGGTTCCCTCTCCAAGCACGGGGCTTCTTCCAGCAGCTCCTCATCTGGAGCTTCTGCAAACCAGGGCTGCTCCTCTGGGAGCTTGCTGCCCAGCGTGCAGACCCCTTCCTCGGGCCAGGCCTCCAGCCGCCCGTCCTCAAGCTCCTCGGTGAAGAAGACGCCCGTTTCGCAGAAGCTGACTCTGGTGGCACCTCCCGGAGGTTCAAACGGAGATTCTAGCGGGGGCACTCAAGGAGTGGCCAAACTGCTGACCTCCTCCCTAAAGCCAGCTGTTGTTAGCAGCACCGCATCTTCTACCTCTGTGCCGGTAAGCAGGGGGGTGCTGGCCGAGCCTAAAGCCAGGGGGACGCATGGCGCTGTGGCAGGCCATCTCCTGACCTGTTCAGCCCTGCCGTGAAGTGATGACTTCAAAAGAATTTCCTGAAATTCGTGAATGACTGTCTGGGTCTTGGCTGCTTAGGCGAGGAAGTCCTGGCCTTTGCCATGGGCTCGCACTCCAGAATTCAAGCTTTCATTTTCGGCTTAAAGTAACAACTAAGCAAAATACGGTTCAGTGTCTCATGAAGGACTCCTGGGTTACCTATACAGACTTGTATTATTCAGCCATTGTATTTAATGGTGTAAGGACCTCAATTTTAATCTCTAGCAAAAAAGTAATTGTTCCTAACGCTGCTGTATTAATTTGTTGTTGGCTGCTCATTCTTGCCTTCTTTTGTGGCATGTGAAAAGAGCTGGGCAATTAAATGAGTGTGTTTAAATGGGCCTGAAAACCAGGTACTGCTCAGCCAGTGTACCTTGTCTGTTACCGAGACAGAGAGCTGAAAAGCATTCCCCGGTGGGATCTCTCTCCATGGGAGAGATCTCGGATAACGTTCTTTGGTGCAGGGGCACACCAAACCTTGGTGCCTTGTGTCGTCAGCAGTGATACGCTGCTGGAAGGGAGTAGGAAGCATCCTCCCTGGAACTCACAGGCAGTCTGTCAGCTTTTCCTCTGCCTAATGGAGGCACAGTTCAAGAGGAAGGGAACGACAGAGTGAAGTCCAGTCTGGTCACATTTAGAAGAGCATAGCATCCAGCAGCTGGATTGCCAGTGTCCTGGGCACCTCCAGGTGGCCTCAGGAGCTGGCAGTGCTTGGGCCCTGGCTGGGAGGGCACTCCTTGCAAGGAGGAATGCTTGAGCACTCCATGTTTTGCAGTTCTTTAAGTAGGAATGATGCTATGCCTTGGGTTTCCTACTCCTGACTGCCCTTTTCTGTTGCTTTCCAGAAAGGAACTAGTGGAGCTGTGCTGCTAACGAGTTCTTCCTCCTTAAGTGTACTGGCTCCATCCTACAAGTCCAGCAACCCAAAGCTGCCAGCTGCCCTGAGCTCCACCCCATTAGGTATTATCTCTCCTATTCATTCCTTCCCTCTTCATGTCATCTCCTTCAGTTCAGACTCCTCCCCAAAAGCAGGAGTATCAAAGGATGCAATAGTTACGGGACCCGCTCCAGGAACTTTCCACCACGGCCTTGGCCACAGTGAGTATCCTCCTGGTTACGCACGTGTGTGTTACTTGTGCCTGCGCTATCAAATAACAAGAACGCCAATGCTCTGCTGCGTTAACCCATTGCAGACCAACCCATCTCTCTTGCTGTTGCTTCATGCTGTAGTTCATGCACTTATATCTCCAGCAGTTGCATTTGGAGAACCTTGGGCACATTCCCGTAGCTAGCCCAGAAGTCCCCATAGCTGGAAGCTGAGCTATAGGCTAACTGCTGCAGCTCTTCTGCTCGTTTCTGTCTTCGATGTGTATTTGTTCTTTTTTTTCCCCTCTCCTTTCTTTTGTTTTTCTCTCTAGGTCTTCTAGCTGGCTTGCACTCCAGCCCCCACCATGCAGCGCCACTCCCACATTCTGCCCTGTCCACTCATTTACCGCAAAGTTTGCCAGGTAACTTGTCAGACGGTCGTGTTTGTCTTCTGCATCGTGAGTCGTCCTGTAGCTCGGCAGATAATTCCTCTAGGGGCGAAAGCAAAGTGGTTGTCCACGTTGTCTGACCGGTGCGGTCGTCGCAAAAACCCGCGGCCTCCCCGCGGTACAAAGCGAGGCGTCGCCCTCTGCATCCTTTACTGTTTAGTTAACCAGGACAAACTTGTGCGTTTTGGGAACGGTGAGCCCTCGGTGCTTCTAGCAAGTGTTGGTTCCTGGAGGTACTCAGCTTTGCTGCTTGTGTCGTGCTGAAGAATTATCCCGCCAGGATGAAAGCTGTGCGTGTTTATGCACAGTCTGCCAGGACTGCCCAGGAATGAATATTCTGGCTCTGTGGAGTTTTGTTTCTGGTGACCTATATAAAATGTGTCCAACCAGAATGTCTTGCGTCTGTGCGCTGAGCTAATTGCCTGCATCTCCTTCGCGACAAGTTTGTAGTGTAAATGGAGACTGCTTTACCTGGTGTTGACAACGTGCTGATTTTGCAGTTAAGCCTGTTCCTGGCCCAGTTTGACGCCAGCAGAAGCAATGCATAAAAGAGGAGATTTCCGAAGAACACCGCCCCTGCTCGTCACGGGGCTGTGGGCGCGTGTGAATGTGTAGCACTGTGGAGGAAGGAGAGAAGTGAGGGGGATCCGTGCAGCGTTCAGAAAATTGAAATGCAGGGCCAGCAGATTGGGCTTAGCTGCTGCCGGGAGTTGCTTATTCCATTGGTAATTGCTATTTCTGCTTTCTTGATCGAGTGTTCTTTAGCTCTTCAGCGCGATTCAGTGTCACTGTCTTAGTACTCGCTCCTGTTGCCATTGTCTTACTCGGCAACAGGAGCCTGGTTGAGGAGTGGATGTGCTAGCCCAATGTTGTGGCCCCGAGGCCATTAGGTGTGCGGATAACCTGCTGGAGTTCATGCGGGCTCCCGTGGCAGTCATGGGGTAAACTGCCCTTGACCGCCGAGTGCAGCGCTTGGTTGATGAAGAGAGTGCTGTGCACTGGTGAGAATTCAGAGCATGTGTCGTCTTTGCTTCTTTTGCCGAAGTTTGTCCGAGGCAGGTGGTTGTGCCGCTCTGATGCGGTGGAGCAGAAGCAGCAGGTACTGGCAGCAGTCACCGGTGCGACGGACCCTTCCTTCCCCTTTGTAAATTCACGGGTACTGGAGAGTGAGATAAATGATTTCCATTTGAACGTGGGGTGTGAAATGTAGTCCATGTCACCGGGAAGGAGTTCTCTGTCCCGTTATTTGGGGGAATTTAGAGTGGTTACTTCACTGTTGCTTATAGGGCTTATAAGAAAAGAATGTTTTGACGGACTGCTGCTCTTAAGCAGGCCGTTGTGCTAGACGCTGCGAGGGGACAAAAAGTGACTAGGAATAAAACCTGCCAGCTTCAGCAGGGACCTGCTTTCCACTTGGTATTTTCACATAAAGATAGGGGATTGAGCCTAGTGCTGTCATCTCTGGGAATATTACCAATTGTGGTGGTTTGTAGAGCAGCACCGTAGATAATGAAGTGACTGCCATAATCTTAAAATGTATTAATTTGTTTTGTGGCATAAACTGTGGTTGGCTGTATAAGCAGATGGCCACAGCTGCATTGCTCTGCCCGAAAGCTGCGAGGACTCTGGTGTGTTGGGAGGTTGCTACAAATGCAAGGAAACGTTGATGTCTTCAACAAAAGCGCTTCCACCAGCATTCATCCAAAAGCGCCTGAGCAAGGAGCATCCAGTGCTTGCTTGTGTGTTGTCGCTGCCGCGTTTGCTGGCGGAGCTGCCTGCGTGCTGGCGCTGTGGCGTTGGTTCTGACCGCTCGCTGCAGAAACGCGACGTGATGGGACTGAGCCCTTGCATGGAATGAGCCGTCCTTGTCCTGGAGGAGAAACTGTTGCTACGCTGCTCGGTGCCACTGCTGCTTAACTGCACATCTCAGCACGCCCATTTGTTCATGACAGCCTGATGGTAGTTCTAATTGCTCCTGGAAAACTTCTGCTTCCTTAAACTTCCTTCCTTTTTCTCTCTTCAGTGCATTTTCTCTTTTCCCTCCACGTCTGTTCCTTTCTGTTACTTCACTGGCTAGATTCCTATGATTGCTGTTGCTGTCGGTGGGCACCTAAAGCCTTCATTACAACAGCAAAGGTGTACTAACGGTGTCATTTCAAACCAATTTTAGATGCGAGGCAGCAAGTACCGTGTATTTCTAGTTTCCTAGATGGGGAGACGTGGTAGGGTGGCGTTTAGAGAAGAGCATAGGCTAGCTGGTCAACGAGCAATCTGAACCTGCGCCGTGGTGCTTTTGCTGGGGGGCCACAGGAGACCCTCAGTGCTTCCCGTGTGCCTTTCTCAGGTGCAGAGGCAGGGCTGCTCCCAGGTGTGTGGGATGTCTCCGAGCACGTCCTCTTACCCCCTGATTCCTTGGTGCTGGAAGGGAAAAGGAGGTCTTTCCATCTGGAGAGATCTGGCTGCCCCAGCTGCACGCAGCTCCACAGAGCTGATGCCGAACCCCCTTCCCACTTGGTTTTATTTTCTTTCAGACACTTCTCAGCTTCACGGCAAAGGGTCCAACGCACAGCAACGCAAGTTGTGACGTCTGCAAGGAGGGGAGCTAGAGCACACATAGGATAAACCCAAGAGGAACAGGTCATGAACTTCGGATACCGGCTGCGTCTTCTCTTTTTGTGTTGTTTTTTTCCTCACGACAACTGGAGAGACTGAACCGCAACGAGGAGCTCATTGGTGCGTTTGCTCAGAGGCTTTCGGAGCTAAGCCCCACGCAGAGGGCCACCTCGAGCCATGCCCTAATGAGAGAAGCATTTTGTAGCACTGTTTTATTGCTGCTGCCCTTCACGCATTCCCTGGCGCTGGCGGGAGCTGGAACGCGCAGGGAGCCTCGGGTGGCTTGGCTTTCTGGCGGTGGATTCTCACCCACCTGTGTCGATATCTGCCAAGTACCTCCAAGTCCAGTCACCTCCTTGGTCTCCCGGTGGAGGGTACGAAAGGTGCTTCTTTCTCCCGCTTTGGATTGACTTGGATAATTCTAGCACTGCCAGTGCTTTCTGAAGACGTTTGACTAACTTTTCGATTGTACTATAAAACTGTGCTACAGTTAATGGAGGACTTAACGTTTCCTGTGTGGTGAATCTAATGAACCACCTGATGTTCCCCTCTGGAGGAGAAGGAAGACTCTTTAGAGAGACATTTTTAGATGCAGTCATTGACTTTGAGAATTTGACTTCTTCGGTTTTGGGATTTTTTTTTTTCCTCCTGCTCAGTTTTCTCCTCATTACCATCGAATGCATTGGATTGAATGGGACACTTCTCGGCATGTCACATGTATAGGAAGACATAATTCCAGTGCCTTTTATGGTGGAGCAAGAATGGACTAGTGACACACATTTCAGCCCTATTTTGTGTGCTCCTCGACCCTTTTTTAATCATTCTGTATTTAAAATGTATTCTGTTTTATTTAATAGAGCTTTTTATGGTTGCACATCAAAAAAAAAAAAAAAAGCTGCACTGTCTGGACTTCAGTGGTGTCTTGGTGACTGTGAACACAGTACCAAATCCAGCAAGAGCACCAGTTCTCATCCGAGTTTGTGCAGGCGGGTTCCAGACCCTCCCCTAAAGCCATTCTTTCCTAGGGTCGTCGGTTATGATCTCTTTGGCGGGCAGAGGGAAGGATCTAGATTAACCAAGGTCACTACTAGTCCGATGAATTCCGGAGAAGAACATTGCTCTCCTCGATGATTCCTGCACTAGGATCATGTGCTTGTCACAGCTGCAGGAATGGGGACCATCTAGAATTGGGGTGTGTCTTTTCTTTTTAATTTTTTAACTCTTAGCCCTAACTACTCCTCCTGAGCACACCCTTTCAGTCCGGGCATAGCTGAGGGCAGGCTGTGGGTCCACCTGAGCTTTATGGGTTCCGATTTTCTGCTCTTCCCCCAGTCTGCCTTTTCTCAGGCCCCCACAGCCACATCTGAATCATGCAGTAGTAGCGCTGATCCGCGTAGGCTTTCCTGGTATTTCAAGCAAAAGCTTGCAGCCTTCCTTCTTGAGCTTTGGGGAAGGATGCTGACACTGAGTATACCAGCAAATAGCTGCTTTCTTTTTCCCCATTTTTGGTAAGATCCAGGATGGACTGTTTTTAGTTTGAGCTGATATGTAATTTCCCCAAGATCAGTGCATTGTTTGTATTGAAAAAAAAAAATGCAGCTCAGATTTAAAATTTGTTTACAGAAAATACCTAGGTTGTAGCAAAAGAGCCAAAGACAGAACTTGTGTTACTAAAACTAAGCACAGCAGTTATGGATGGACTCTGAGCAGTGGATGTCGCATGGTTCCCGTTGAAGGCCTAATTCTGAGAGGTACTTTGCACCTTCAGCTTCCCAGGGTAGCTGAAAGCGTTCGGACACCTGGCAGGATAGGGTCTCAGCGAGTGACTCGAGGTACTGGTTCTCCTCCCTCTCTTTGTTTTCACTTGAATGCTTCCGCTGGGAAGCACCCGTGTGCGTGGCCAGAGCAGAATGCCCTCCTTCTAGGAATTTAGCGAAGCCTCTTGCCTCAGGGAAATGTTTATTTGGTGGAAATTCTGTGGGATATTTTTTTCTTTACATGCTCTAATGAATGAGTGAATGGTATGGAAAGGAGTCGCAGCAAGGCAGAACCACGCGGAGACCCGACAGCCGGTGGGGAGCCAGGAGCCTGGCATCTCGGCCTTGCCGAGGCATCTTGCAGCGCTTTCGTGGCGGCGTGGGGAGGCGAGGCTCCCGTGGCACGCACTTCGTATGGCAGTTCCTTTCGGGTGTAAGAGCTGCGGTTTACTATTTTTTTTTTTTGTTTTGTTTTTTGTGTGTGTTGGGACTGTCTTGCTGAAGATAGTGGGGGTGGTACGAAAACTGTTAATCTTGTACAGAACAACTGAATAAATTGTTTCAAAGTTTCCAAAATGCTTTTTTCCCTCTCCTTACCTCTAGTTTCATGACTTTGTTTTCAAGAATTTGTCTTTCAGCTTAGATGATCGCCCCTTGATCATCTTGTTTCTTGAGTGAGGAACGAGTTATTTACTGTTTTAACTAAAGTCTCTTACGTGGCAAGTAAAGGACAGCTCTGTTTCTAGCCGTTGCGGTGGTGGAATTGCACGTTCTCAGTCAGCGCGCTCCTGCTGATGCTGAAGTTGACATCTGCTGGAAAGAACAAGCGGGGTTCGGACCCTGGAGCAGCGGCGTGATCCTGCGTGATCCTTTCGTTCTCGGAGGTAAAACATTGGCGTTAATCCCCAAAGCCAGGAGGGATGAGCAGTGGATGCTTACGGCTGCTTTTGTTGACAGCAGAGGTTACTGGGGTTTGGCATTAGCCGAAAATCGGGAAAAGGGAAACGAATGTGCTCTGGATGTGGCAGCCCCTGGTACCATCCCAGTGGGACTCCCTGTTTTCCTGCAGCTCCGGTCCCATTTCTGAGTGCAGTTCGCTCCCACCTAATGCTGCTAATTAGTCCCAGCTCTAACGCTGCTCCTGCAATTTCCCTCTTGGAAAAGAGTCAAGAGCTACAACGAACAGTCGTAATTTTTTTTAACTCAAAATGGCATCTTTCTGTAACGCCCAAGATGAAGAGACTGCCATAATTAATAAAGAAAACCCAACTTCTGATTGGAACCACTGCATTTTTATTTTGTACTATAAATAGAATTCCCCTCTATTTCCCATTCCCTTGCACAAGTAAATGAAACATGTAGCTGCTTGTAACTCCATCCAGTAAAATACCAGCACAAATGGCTTTTAGCCATGAGGTAAGCTAACTGTTTCGAAGGCACTCTGCGTTTGGTTACAGCTGCATGCTTTACACTACCCTCTTGTGTTCGGCAGTACCGCCGTCTCCCCGCGTACTTCTTCGCGACCTCTCTGGTGTACGAATGCTCCTCCTGGATCTACGGCTTGACGCCATCGAATTACATCTGCTTCACGCTTCCCCAGCGGCATAGGCACGTAGGTGAACAAAATGATGGTGTTTAGGTGTTAATGTGGTGATGCTGAATTGAGATGTGTAGCACACCTTTGTTTTTACAGAGCCGGTTTTCTCGGAGGACGATCCCATCATTTAGTCAGTTGTCCACGATGAAACTGTCTGGCTTACCAACATGCAGGTGACGTAACCAGCTCCTGCTGGTCACCCCGGAGTCATCTTGACCTTCGGTCTCTCTAATCACTGCTGTATATAGCTTTTTATGCGACTACGTGAGTATATGTTGAGGAAACTGCAGGTTCTACTGAGTCTTTGGACTTCGGGTACTTCACTTTCCTAAGGCTTTTTGTCTTGGTGGTTGTTACGTTGAGCGATTCAGTAGGGATGAAGAGGGGGAGAAGGTTTTGCTGTAGTCCTGACAAATGTGTTTTCCACTACTGGTGGTGCTTTTCTTGTGGTGTATGACAGCAAGCAGTGTGGCTTTGTAGCATGGCCGGGACAGAGGCTCTAGCATTTTGGAAGACGCAAAGGAGGGCAAGGATTTGCAGTGATCTGGTAGTCTAACAAGTGGTGCAGCTCCGACTAGCTGCTCTTAAGAAAAAGTTTCTAAAGTGGAGGGAGCGCTGTGTAATTACTTCCGGACACCAAGACTGCCAACTCCTGGATCGACATCTCCTTGTTGAGGTAACTGTTGTACTGAGCCGTGGTTAGCCGTCCGCTCTTCAAGGCATCCTCAATTGAGAACTCTCTACCAGACTTTCTGTCGAGGATCACGGACGATTCCCCATTGGGACCCTTTATCGAGATCTCCTCCCAGTCACATTCCTGACTCTTCAGTTTGACAAACAGGCTCCATTCAATGAGGCCAAGCACATGAGCTTCCTCTGGAGACATTTCTTTTCCTGTATCGGGGTCGATGACCACAATGGAGCGCCTCAGGTGGTTCTCTCTTTGTTCCCTCTTGATAGCCACCGTCTTGAGGCGATTCTGGAGTTGCTCGATCTCTGCGTCTTTTTCTCTGGATAACTGCTTCAGATCATCTAACTCTCTTTCCAAAGCTTGGAATCTGGAGTCCAGGTTTATTCCACTGTCCACGTGGGTCATGTTTCTCAAATCCCGAGCTTCTGTTGCTGTGAGTTCAATCTCTGACTGCAGTCTCCTTGTTTCCATCAGCAGGTTCTGTTTCTCAAGGTGTAGTTTGTGGTTTTCCTCCCTTAATAAGTCTAGCTCCTTTGATGACTTGGAGTTGTTGAATTCCACCTCGGACAGCCTGGTTTCGAGGCGGTTGATATCTGCATCTAGCTCCCTCTTACGCCTACTTTCTTCCTCCAGATTGCTCTTCAGCTTTTGAATCTCGTACTCCGTGTCTCCTTTGTCCACTTGGACGCTCTCTGAAAAGACCACTTTCTCTTTGACCTCCATCTTCTCCAAAGAGAGGAGCTTCTTTCTCAGGGCTTCTAGTTCAGTTTGCAGGACTTGTCTCCGGTGCTTCTCTTCTTCTAGCTCCAGCTTGAGGAGGGAGTGCTCCTTCTCTTGCTGGGGATCTTGCTGAAGGATCACTTTCTGTTTCACAGTCACTCGTTCTGTTGTCTCCCTCTCCTGTTCTTCCAACTCGTTCAACCTAA